AACCAAAAAAAAAAAAAAGAACAAGGCGATCAAATACACAAGAAAAAGTAGATAAAGACAATTTGCTGTATCCACTGTACACAAAAGCATTTTCAAAAATTAAGTTAATTATTGATATGTGCAGAAGCAAAAAGTGGAAAATTTGACTCCCAAACATTATTAAACAAAAAATCATCAACAACATAAACAACTCAGACTATAGTCAAATTTATTGGAACTGTGCAACCCGGTGTAGGCTTGAATTACCTTGACAACATCATTAGGTTTTACAACTGTGATGACTTTCATGAAGATTCCAATCAGCATATGGATGTTAATAATTACTGTGTTCTCCAACTTCTTGTTAGTGGGTGAATACAGAATGATTCCAACATCATTAAGGTAATTGAGGACGTGGATGACGTTATCTTCATTAATACCACAATCAACAGCAATCTTAGTGATCTAAAAAAATAAGGAACATATAAAAAAAAAAAATAAAAAAAAAAACATTTTTTCTTAGACAGTCTTAAAATATTACCACTCTAAAAACAGTTTAATCATAATTAAATTAATTAGCAAATTCACATTTATTATAATTACAAATACTGTCACTAAAAAGTTTAAATGTTAAAAAAAACTATATAGGTCATCAAAAGTTGCCTTAAATAAACTTATATTATGACCATAGTCAATTTCAAAAATACCATTTGTGCTAATTTACTTCAAATTGAACTTTTATTATAAGGTTTTTTGCAATTTGAACTTTACTGTATATCAATTTTCATGCCATGTTTAGATATTTTTTTTTCTTTTATCTTTTTTTTTTTTTATTTTGATACTTTTGTGTTCTGTTTAATATTTTACTTCTGTTTACATTCTTTTGTTAAGAAAACCGGACCATTTTGAAAAGCAGTACTGCCCTACTAAAAATGCTATCCAGTCGAAAGAAAGAATAAATAAATAAAAATAAATAATCCAAAGCAGTAATTTAAAGAATAATGATACCTCATTCAAGGACATGTGCATTGTTGTCTTCCCAGCTTCTTGTACCTTAGTTTGAAATTCAACCCACTTGATGGGAACAGTTTTTGCCATTGCCTTCATGTAACCACCAACATTGGTTTTTAATTGTTCAATCCCTTCATCCATTTTTGCATTGTTAGCTACTGCATACATATGGCGGTCAACATGACTCTCGTACGGTGTGTCTTCGATTTCCTTAAATATCCTTCTGAATTTGGCTT